TGTAGTTTTTTTTTAAATATGTGTAATTTACAGAAGTATCCTGGGGATTGAGAAGATAAAGTTATTTGTATTCTTTGTTGTGTATTCTGTACACAAGAGACAAGAAGACACAAGTTTAAGATTTGAAAAAGACAGGATAGAGGCTCCAGTAAAGACTGTTATTTTTATATCAGGGTAACTGGTTTATGGAATGAATTGTTGTCAGTACTAGTTGAGGCCAGAATGGCACTTCACAACTGTTTAAAAAAGAGAATCAATGATTTCTTGAAAAATAGAGGGTGGATTTAAAATATTACTTTTCTTAATGATGGGTGTGCAAAGACAGTCTTGAAGAACCAAATGGTCCCTTTTTAATCTATATATGACATTAAATATATGTATCAAATGTAAAAACATTAATACAAAACTGTGGAGTTAATGGTCATTTAAAAATATTAATTTAAACCTTCAAAATCTGAACAACACATTCTGCCCAGAGCTAAAAACCTTACCAGGCTTTACAGGCTCAGATCCAACTTTCCCACTAAGTTTTTGTTGTAGCGACACTGTTAAAGATGAAACCTTAAAAAAGAAAGAAGCTCCTTAATCCTTATCTAATCACTAAAAGAATGGTGTTTAATATATAATCCACAACATAATGAACTGCAATAAGTCAAAATATACACATTACATACAAAAAAAACAAACCAAGCCTACTTGAAATCTGTAATTTTAGACGATATTAATGCTCATAAGAACTGTATATTAATCATTCCAGTTACCTAACAAAAGCATTATAAAAACTGGTGATAGAACAATTGTCAAATACAAATTTAGAAAGAATTAATACATTTTATATCATGTCTTACCCTTCTTTTCTCAAGAGAAAATAATTTGAGAGAAGATACCCATCCTTCCTCAGAATACTTGTTGCATTTATAAAAAAGTCACAAATAGTATTTAACTGGCACATTTAGTTCAGAAAATGAATAAAAATAATAATAATAATGGTCATAAAAAAGTTTAAAAAACACTTTGCATTAGTACTTTTAGAAACACTTGGCAAAATAAAACACACATTAAAATTTGAATTGTAAATGTAACTTTTGCTACTTTATAGTAGAAGTTTTATATGTGTTAACATAATTATTAACTTCACTTTAAAGACAATATTAAACTATTCAGTTTATTTTACAAGATGCTTTTCACTTCAAAACACAGCTTGAATACATAGTGGCTAAATCCAGTATAATGATGTAACCTCAGACATTGTGCATTATGTCAGCCACAAATATATCTCCATACATAGGGGCTAAATCCAGTATAATGATGTAACCTTAGACATTGTGCATTATGTCAGCCACAAATACGTCTCCATACATAGTGGCTAAATCCAGTATAATGACGTAACTTCAGACATTGTGCATTATGTCAGCCACAAATATATCTCCATACATAGGGGCTAAATCCAGTATAATGACGTAACCTTAGCCATTGTGCATTATGTCAGCCACAAATATGTCTCCATACATAGGGGCTAAATCCAGTATAATGACGTAACCTTAGCCATTGTGCATTATGTCAGCCACAAATATGTCTCCATACATAGG